CACTTGAGCCCAGAAATTTGAGCTTGTAGTGAACAAGCTTACAGCAAGGATCTCGCGCCTGGGCCACAGAGTGAGACTCTGTCTCAAAAAAAAAAAAAAAACAAAAACAAAAACAGATTTCCTGGGGGATCTACTGCCCGTCTCCCCTCTGTCCTAGCAAAATGGGAACAATTTTATTCTAGGAAAAAATAAACTTTCATTTAGAAGTGGACTTATACTACATTGTATATAGAAGCAGCATCTGGCCCACAGGATTTACAAAAAGAGCTGATAAATCTTTGGCCAGTGACTGGAGAGGAGCATAGAGTACAGATACTCGAGTGAAATTTTACTTCCATATTAAACATGCACACATGGAAAATAAAAAGGATGGTGGGAAGAATGAACAAGAGATAAAGCTTTGAGTTTCGTGACTTCCACATCAGGAATAAAAAGGAACCTGTACCTGGAGACACGTGGTCAACAAGTTGAGCTGCCTTTGCCAAAGTATCACAGAGCTCCTGCTGTAGCTTATGGGCAAGACTGCTCAGACCAGGGAAGTTGGGAACAAAGAAGGTGAAATTCTTCTGAGGACCACTGGCAATCTCCCTGAGCTCCGCCCTCACGGCATCTCTGACACCAACAGCATACAGCAGAATGCCTGCCCTCTTAAATGCCTCAGCGGGTCCTCGGACATAGTCCTCGGCTGGGCCACTGCTGATCACCACTGCGATCTGAGGCACCCTTTGGCTTGCCCGGCTCCCTGCTGCTTCCTGGAAGTGGTGATCTAGAATGAACTGCAGGGCCAGGCCCATCTTCTTGCCCCCAGGCTTAAACCGAAACCCCTGAATGTGTCTCAACATGTCGCCTTTGCGGTGGTAGGTGGAAAGCAGGAACTCCGAACGGGGCACATCACTGTACTGGGCCAGACCCACACGGATGGTGTCTCTGCTGATATTGAAGCTGTTTATCAGGATGTTTAAGAAGGTCTTCACACTGCGGGCATGTTGGGGGTTGGTGCTGGTGTCCACCAGAAACACGACATCTCCCACAGAGGCCTCTCTGCAGACTGGGAAAGAGAGTCATGGGAAGATAAAACATTACTAAATTGACACCTACTGGCTGGAATTCCATTTCTGTCGATTCAGTGCCTTTACTGTCTACAGATGTACCTACATGGCTCTCTCCCTGGCTGCCGTCAGCCTCTTTCATGCATAGTTTGGTCCCTGGCTTTCCCATGGGTGTGGCTTACATGTGCCTTGCTACTCCCTGAGCTCAAGCTTCTGTACAGCTTCTGCTCCCAACACTGCTACAATCCTGGGAGCCAGCATCTCAATGGTGGCCAGACCCGCTGGTACCTGACCTGGGGCTATCCTTCAGTATAGAAGGGAATAGATGCCAAGTGGCTGCAGAACTTAAGCAAATCTCTAATCCCTCTGCTTCTCATATTGTGTCACTCCAGACTACAGGACTGACCAGGTGACTTGTTCTCCTTCAACTCAAACTTTGCTTTTCTGTGACAAGAAGCACAGTGTGTACCAAGCACAGGGCACATGTGGACCAAAAGAAGAAGAGGAGATTATGATCAATCTATTTCTCTGCGACCTCCATGATTTCTCCCCCCACTGCAATCTCATTACCTGGGGTGGTGGGAGGAGAACATAAATTAGTGATGAGAAGGGAAACAAAAGCAGAAACCAGCTACAAATGTTTTTAGGTTAAAGTAGCAGAAAAATCAAAGAATGATAACCTCATATTTGTTAAACACATCTTGCACTTGGTTTGTGCCAGGAGGTTTAAAACACTGACATGCACCGGCCCTGAGCTAGCCTCAAGCCTTGTCTCCCAGCCCTCTTCCCCTGAGCTCTCCCTGCCCTGTCTCCGCAGCCTCGTCTCCCTGCCCTCTGTCTTTCCCTCTTCCAGGCCCTCTAGTCCAGCCTCTCCAATTTTCCATGTTCCCACTTACCATTGCCCTTTAACACACCCCTCTTCCTTCCTAATTTCTCTCTCTTTTTTTTTGTAAATTCCCATATAACCAAGTTCTTTTATCTTGATTTATAATGTAACATTCATTAGTGTGCTTATTTGATTAATGGCAATTTCCTCAACTAGACTCCAAGCTCCGTGGGAATAGATAAACATATCTTCTATTGGTTTGTTCACCACACAAGTATCTAGCAGGCAGCAGACACTCAAAAAATATTTGAGGAAGGAAGAAATAGAGGAAAGGAAGGAGGGGAGAGATCGCACTTATAAAGATGGAAATCTTGTACATGAATGGGAACAAGGGAGATATGTTAGCGCTGGAAATAGTCCTGTGAGACTAATCCAAGGAGACTACACAAGGCAGCACTGTAGCTACTAGATACATAGGACAGTTGAGCATTAAAATATAACTAGCATGGGGTGGTGCCTGTGGCTCAAGGATTAGGGCACTGGCCCCATATACCGGAGGTGGCAGGTTCAAACCTGGTCCCGGCCAAAAAACTACAAAAAATAAAATAAAATAAAAAATATATATAACTAGCATGACTGAGAAACTGGATTTTACATTTTACTGGATTTTGATTCAATTTAGATAGTCACCTGTGGCTAGGGGCCACTGTGTTGGATGGCACGAGTATAGAATAAGGAATCCAATCCAAACATCTCACAGAGAAGGAAAATAAGACCTGCACAAGCAGAGTAATCATAAATTTATTCAGAGAGCCAGAATTCACTCAGGAACCAGGTCTCCTGACATCTAGCTCATGCTCTGAACGGCTGTAAGTTTAAATTTAAAATCCACATACAGAAAGCAAAAACAAAAGAAGAGTTTGAACAGAATGGACTGGGAGAAGTTGGTATAATCTGGCTAAATCCATTTGTCACCTCTGGATTCCTGAGTCCCACCTCTCAAATGTTTGCCTAATCTTGGTCATAAAGCCAATTAGAGCCTGATCGTGGAAAAGGCAGTTGATGAACCTCAGCTCCTTTAAGCTTTATTTCCCTGTGGCCCTCCAAATGCAACCTTATTGGGAGGAGACGATTCGGTGACTGTTCCAGCGATGGTTTGTCCCCTTAACATCTCTTTCCAGAGTGATCAAATGCAGGTCAGGAAATGCTCCCCTTATCTTTCCAATCAGAAGAAACCTCATAGCTGTAGAATATTTTTCAAGCAAGTAGGTTTGTGTCCCATCACGTGCAGCTTGAGCCATGTATACCATTTTCACGCATTGTCACTTTATTAACCCCTCCACTAGTTCTTTGTGGTTTCAGAGGATGTTTGAAACATGAAAAGATTATCACACCTTCTGCTCACAAGTGAGGGGAACCAGAGCCAAAAGGAAAATTGGGAGAGCTTCATGTTCCCCTCTCCCCCAAAAAATAAATCTGTGTAATTATATCTGAATATTTAAACCTCAATATTGTCTCAGTGGGACTGGAGGCTACTCAAACAATCTTCTGTTGATGAGTCTTTCATCTTGAAAAGTCCTATCCATCTATTAAAATAACAATCACCAAAAAATCACAGAGGCGTCACTAGCATTCTGTGTAACTATTCATCTTGTGATGACAATTACCCCTCAGAACAGCTCAGCTAAAGAGAAAAGGCAGAATGCATAATAGGCTCTTGTTTACAAAAGCATTTGAGAGCCTGATAACACAGTACTTTTTAAGGTCTATTTTGGAGGGCTAAGCATTGAAAAAAATCAAATGCCAGCCATTCATTCAAAGTTTCCACATTCTGCCTAAATTCTCCTTCAAGGAGTCACTTCCCTTTTGTTAATGATGAAATTCTTGTAATATTTTCTTTTAAGATTGTCACTGCCACTGTTTCTGGCAAGGTAACTGTTTTTGGCTTAAAGAATCCCATGCATTACCAGTCCTCTGTGATTTGATGAGGCCAAAACTAGTTGCAAAGAAGATGATCCCCCAAAATGTCTTCCAAGTCTCCATCCTAGATGTATACCTAGAGAGAAAAAGGAACCTTGTAATTTACAAAATATGCCTTCATACACTTAAAATAGGTGCATTGCATTGTATTTAATTATATCTCAACAAAGTAGTTTTTAGGCTCGGCACCCTACCACAGTGGTTACAGCACCAGCCACATACACTGAGGCTGGCAGGTTCGAACCTGGCCTGGGCCAGCTAAACAACAATGACAACTGCAACAGAAAATAGTCAGGTGTTGTGGCGGGCACCTATAGTCCCAGCTACTTGGGAGGCTGAGACAAGAGAATTGCTTAAGCCCAAGAGTTTGAGGTTGCTGTGAGCTGTGATGCCACA